AGAAAAACATCGATGTGAAAGAGACACATTGATTGGTTGCCTCCCACACGACCCTCACCAGGGCCAGGGATCAAACCTGGAACCCAGTTATGCGCCCTTAACCGGAAATCGAACCCATGACCCTTTGGTCCATGGACCAATGCTCTAACTGCTGAGCCAAACCTGCCAGGACAAAAAAAAAAAACTTTTTTAATGTATAAAAAAATATTACAGCCCAGTCAGTGTTGCTCATTGGATTGAGCACCATCCCATGGACTGAGAGGTCTGGTTTGATTCCTGGTCAGGGCACACGCCTGGATTGTGGGCTTGATCCCCAGTACGAGGCGTGCAGGAGGCAGCTAATCGATGTTTCTCTCTCTAAAAAAACCAATAAAAACATATTTTAAAAAAGAAGGAACCTGTGAATGCATAAATAAGTGGAACAACAAATCTCTTCTCTCACTCCCCCTTCCTCTCTCTCTCTCTCTCAAATCAATACATAATAATTTAAAAAATAAATGAAACTAACCAGGTTCATAAATACAAAGACTGTCCCAGGACACCAACTATCTAGGTTGTTTCTTTCTATAAACTTCTCCATCTGTGTAAGATTGCCCCAGCTTGATTGCCAATTTTATTTTCTTAATCTAAGTTCTATTCTCATTACCCTTCCATTTCTATTTTTTATCCTCAGGGAAAGAGAGAGCAGTTACTGCCAGGGCATTCTCACATCTTCCAAAGAAATGGCATAGGTGTTAATCTTGTGTTTATGTTTGATGTGGGTAATGATGGCTATGACTGGAACTGTGGGTTTATTAATACGCAGGGCTCTCACCTCATTAGTGGCGATGTATGTTTTGAAGTTGAGCGGCAATGTGTGCTGTAATGTCAGATCTGGCCTAACAGACTTTCTCACTGTTCATTTTCTCTGTTTTTACCCAGTCAGAACATGCTATGCTTACAGGGCTCTCACATATGCTTTTTTAATAAAGACAATTTTCTCACAGTAGTTAATCTTGGTGGAAGTTTCAAACATTTTAAATAATTATGTCCTCATGTGATATGTACATGTTTATCTTAGAGAAAATATTTTTCATAATTTTTGACCCAGTAATACAAAGTATAATAATCTCTCTCCCTGGCTTGATTTGGGAGTTAGGTATGCTTATTAACTGGATAAAGTGATTAATTCATAGTTACTATATGACAAAAAACATACTTGATAGTTTATACTTTCATATATATAATCTCAACCAATTCTTAAAAAGAACAAAATAAACAATAGTAAAATTTGATTGAATATATTATTTGATAATCCATTATGAATGGAAACTGTTGTACTTCAATTGCTACAAAGTTTCCAGTTGACGTAATATACTATCAAATAAACTAACCTGTATCAGATTAATAAGCCTCAGGAAATGGGTGGTTTGTAACTGCTTGGTGCTCAGGTTTCATTCTATTCTACAATTCTCACTGGATATACACTATAAGAAAGACCTAATTTTCAACAGCATGTTTGGAAGTCATTAACTATGTTTTATATATCTCACAATATTTTATATATATATATATATATATATATTTTTTTTTTTTTTTTTTAACAGCTAAAAATACAGAAACACTGTATTACAAGGAAGCCATTTAAATGTGAGAAACAGGTTGTTTTCTTTTCTCATTAGGTAAGTCAATGTATCTCCATTTCTTCCTCTTTTTTTTTCTTTTCAATGCTAACCAGAAGATAGTTTTCCATTAATTTTTAAGAGAGTGGAAGAGAGGGAGGGAAAGACAGAGAAACATCAACGAGAGAGAAACACATCAATTGGTTGCCTCCTTCACAAACCTGGGGCTGTGGATTGAACCTGCAACCCTTGACTGGAATCAAACCTGCAACCCTTCAGTCCGAGGACCGACACTCTAACTACTGAGCCAAACTAGCCAGGGCACATCTCTGTTTCTTTTTTTTTTTTAATCTTCATCCAAGGATATTTTTCCATTTATCTTCAGATAGAGTATGTGTGTGTGGGAAGAAAGAGAGAGAGAGAGAGAGAGGGAGGGAGGGAGGGAGGGACATCGATGTGAGAGAAACACATCAACTGGTTGCCTCCTGCACGGCCCTGATCAGGGCTGGGAACTGAACCGCAACCGAGGTATGTGTTCTTGACCAGAATCGAACCCGTGACTCTTTGGTCTGCGGGCAGATGCTCTAACCACTGAGAAAAACTGGCCAGGGCACATCTCCATTTCTTAACCTTTTAAAATTTGTATTTTTAAGTATGAGACCCTGGTTTTTAGGAGCAGCATTTGGTAGGGAAGAAAATGATGATCAGAGGAGAACATAGGTACTAGACCAAGACAAAGGACAAAGAAGCTTAGATCATTCAACAATTCTCTTTCACCAAATTCCTTTCACTATCTTCTCACAGCACCTGTACCAGAAGAACACCTGTCTTTGATTTGACAATGTGACACATATTCAGCTCTAATTCCATCATTCATTTAGAGAAAGCAAAAATGAATATATGTGCTTTTAAGAAGGTACAGCAATAAGCTTATATGGCAAAAGTGTATAAACAAGTATATTACCTATTTAATTGCCTTAGCTGAACTTAAAAGCTCTGATCTTTAATTGCCTGATTGAACTGATCTAAAAAGCTACAATTTTTTAATCAAGGAGAAAATGAAATAGCTTTTTGGTTAATAAAAAGGCATCTTTAATCTTATTTTTATGGAACTGAAGTTATTAAATATGGACAAAACCTCTAAAATATTAACAACGACTCAATCTAGAGTAAATTTCTCATTACAATCCTTTGCAAAAGTCTTCAAGGACACTTGGCTTATTCCACTCTTCAATAAAAACATGTTTTTAAATCCAGAAGGTGAAAGTTTACATGAATAACTAGGACACTGAAAAGCTAAATATATTTGATGAGGTGTATTACCATAGCATATCATTTCTATAGTTGAGCACCCATAATCACCGGCGAATAACCATTCATTTGCATTAAAATTCTTTAGTGTTTCCATCTAGACAAATGCAGATGCACACCACTCACTGGTATTTATTTAAAACTGAAATCCCTTGAGAGGATTTATTGGCCTCCACCACTTCCCCCACCCAGCCCCTTGCAGATGTCCTCTTCCCAGAACGAGGAGGATTGTGGAGTGGGTCACTCCCTGTGGGAGCTGAGTTGGCCAAGCACAGACTGAAAAGAGAGGTCCAGGCTCAGGATTCCTTTATGAAACCTGTATGTTCTCAAACCATTCAGGCCCTCAGATGTCACGGACCAAAGAGCCCTTTCTTAGGCCATGCTGCCTCTAGAGCTGGGAGGGCCCTACCTGCCTCTGAGAGTCTCTGATCAACACCTTAGACTTCACTTTTAGATGTGGACATCATCCATTTGAAACATGTCTATCAAGATCTCATTTCAAGTGAAAAATTCAATTATTTCTCCAAAACAAAGAGTAAAACTAAAACCACATAATTTAGATACAGGAAATGCTAGAGGCATATCTATTTATCAACATCTATTTCTGATTTTAAAAATAAAAATAACTGCAGAGTAACTAACTAGTACTTCCCTATCCACTATAGTCCTTAGTGCTACTAAGATTCCTCACAGAAAGTTATGGCTAGTGAGAATTCATTATAAGCCAGATTGTGCTGTATGTCCCCAGTATAAGGATCACTTCAGTAATAACATTTGCATTTCCATGGCAAGGTCCTTTTTAATGAAAGGACCTATTGAGAACTGATGACTTCCTTGAGTTCCTTTGTCAAATGAAGACCAGATGTCCATAAAAATCAATAAAATGACAAGAACTGACCACTGTGTATTAACATGCCTATTAAAATGGCTACAGCCATTTTATGGGTTGGTGAGTATGTGGAGGTGAATATACAGGGAATAGAAGCAATATGTTATATTATGTTAAATACCATTTCTTTTCATCTTGGTGGTGAAAAATGCTCCATTTTTCTCCTACTCACAGTGTGTTTACATGCTTATTTGTACCCAGGAAGAGTAATCCTAACTCTCCAAATTTACATTTTACACCAACTATACTCTAGAAATAGAGTGGACTGGCTTTAAAGAAAAAATTAATTTATGATTCCATTTAATCAGCATAAATACCTTCAAGAACTGAATTGATATTTTACTTGTCAAAATGTATTTACTCTATTCCAAAGAGGAAGGAGGATTTAAGAAGAAACTGGAATCACTAGAATATGAAAACCACCATAACAAAAAACAACCTTTAGTGACAGATGTGGTACTGCAATTAAAGACATCAGTTGTTTTCTCTCTTTCATAGTTTATACCTTTTCTTTAAAAAAAAAACTTTCCTTTAATCACATCTAATGTGTATGCTGTTGCAGTCCTCAAATGTGCACTAAGCTATGCTGAGCAGATGTGGGAAATTAAACAGTACTGTTAGTAACATTAGGCTCTGAAGTTGCTTTGTTATCATCTGTTTCTCACTTAATAATTTGTTCCAAATGAATTCAGACATTTTGGGAACATTAAAAAAATGCAAAGAGAGGTTCCTTTTGCAACATTGAACTGTTATCTGATTATTCTTCTCATGTGTTCTGTTAATAAATTAGGAGATTAGTTTCTTATGCTTTCACCAATTCCTTATTTAAAGTTTCAATTTCAAGGTATGTGAAACAATCTCTTAAGAAACTGTGTATGTTAATAAAAAGAAAGGATGCAATTGTACAAAAGTGAAGGTTTTGCATTAACTAGAGTTAAGTAAGAAAAATAAGATCCTGTCATTTTCGAATATTATGAAATACCTTTTTACATGTTTGGTAAATATTATTCACAAAAATACAATATCAAGTTTATAATCAAAATCAGCACTTGAGTGAGAAAATAAGAAAAATAACATTTTCCTGACTACCAAATACATCAGCTTAAATATCACATCAATTATTCACTTTAAAAATCAAGGGATCTGAAGAGCTCCCCACCCCAGCTCAAATTGTCAAAGCTTATAAGCTCAGTACATACCTCTATGTAAAATCTTTAAACTCCACAAATAGGTAAGGCCTTTAACAACCTAAATTTAAGAAAGAGAAAACAGTACAATGATGATTTTTATAAGGAACTTTCCACATTTAAACATATAACCATATCAACCATAATTCTTCCTTTAAAACTCTGTCAACCAATATGCATCTCCCATTTCTGTGCCAGGCTCTTATACATTCTGCGAGGATACCAAATGCCCCACGTTCCTTCTTTTAACGAATTTTCAATGTTCTGGAGACAAGACATGAGAAATGAAAGAATTAAGTGTGTGTGAATAATATGACAAGTACATTTACTAAAGTTCGTAGTAGAGAGGGACAGGAAAAAGAGACAAGGTCCTTCATTTTTTAATTTTCTATACTTCTGTATGTAAACTTAAAAAAAAAGAGTCAAGCCCTGGCCGGTTTGGCTCAGCAGTTGGAGCGTCGGCCTGCGGTCCAGAGAGACCCGGGTTCGGTTCCTGCTAAGAGAACGTACCTCGGTTGCAGTTTGTCCCCGGCCCTGGCTGGTTGTGCGGGTGGCAGCCACTCGATGTGTCCCTTCACATCGATGTTTCTCTCTCTCTCTCTTCCTCTCTCTCCCTCCCGCTCTATCTGAACAAAAAATGGAAAAATGTCCTCGGGTGAGGAAAAAAAAAAAAAGAGTCAAGCCGTGACCGGTTTGGCTCAGCAGTTAGAGTGTCAGCCCGCGGACTAGAAAGGCCCGGGTTCGGTTCCCGCTAAGGGCATGTACCTCAGCTGCAGTTTGTACCCAGCCCCAGTTTGGGTCGTGTGGTTGGCAGCCACTCAATATGTCTCTTTCACATTCATGTTTCTCTCTCTCTCTTCCTCCCTCTCTCTCCCGCTATATCTGAGTATAAATGCAAAAATGTCCTCGGGTGAGGATAAAAAAAAAAAGACTAAAAAGCCAAGACAACTGAATGTGATGTATAACCCTAGACTGGATGCTGAACCAGAAATTTTTCTCTTTTGGTCTGTAGAGGTATTATCGGACAACTGGCAAAATCTGAATAAGGTGTGTTGGTTAGATAATAGTAATGTATCAATGCTAATTTCCTGATTTTGATCAGTATGTAGTGATAATCTAAGAGAATGTCTTTGTTCTTAGGAAATATACACCTGAAGTAGTTAGGAGCAAATGGTCATGATGTCCCCAACTTATTCTCAAATGTTTCAGAAAAAAATATGTAGTATTTTCGATCTGCGGTTGGGAATCCACGTATATGACGGGCTCACTTAAGTTATGTGCATATTCTTGTCTGCGCAGTGGTTAGTGCTCCTAAACCCCCTGTGTTGTTCAAGGGTCAACTGTGTGTGTGTGTGTGTCTGTGGTGTGTGTAAATGAATACATCAAAGGTGGTTAACAGTGGACAACTATGGAATCTAAGTGAAGCAAATGTGGGAATTCTTTGTATTATTCTCACAACTCTTCTGAAAGTCTAAAATAATTTCAAAATAAAAAGTTTCCCCAAAATGTTTTAAATGATACTGGGGTAAGAAAGAACAAAGTGGCCCATCTGGCTGATGCAAGCATAAATGTAGAATCATGTAGACAATACTGAAAAGGCAAGACAAGGAAATAAAGTGAGAAGATACAAACATCTGAATTAGATTTGGATTTCAGAATTTAACAGCCTGAGTAGAGAATAATTAGTTAAATAAGATACTGAAAAAAAGACATGTCTAAGACCCTAAGTACACAGGTTACAAGTGCTACCTTCTAAGGGAGAAACCTTATCATTAAAAGCTTTAAAAATCTTTATACAGAAATTATTGTAAAAGGAGATGCATATATTTTTATTTTTACCCGCTGACTGTATGCACTTGAGTGTGGACTTGCCAATTTTAAGCTATTTATAATTAGATATCAGATACATAAATGAATACCTATCACTCAAATTTACTATAAGAATTTAGAAGTACCTATCATTATAGGAAATTTGAGGTGGGTCAGAAATGTAAGAACAAGAAAAACTACCATTATGAGAAGTAACCGAGTGAGTTACATTTCTTGAAAATGATGAAAAGAGGATTGGGTACTAAATATGCAAGGGTTTTAGTTGATCAAGACTAAGAGTAATATTAAAAACAAAAATGCAAAGGGAGAAACCCAATTTCCAAAGATCTAGAAGAACATAAAATCTACATCAATTAATGCTGAGCAGAGGTTAACATATTTTAATTGTTCTCATAGAGTGGAATGTACTCCTGAAAGATTTGCTACCACAGTATAATCAATTCCACAATGTTTGTCTATTTTAAGAGAATAGAATATATTTTTACAGCAAATGATTTCTTCTGGGGTTTGGAATAAGTGGCATTACAATAAAATGTACATTTTCTGGACAGTAAGATAGTAAAAGAGAAAATACCAAAATAGTAATAAGGATAGCTTTAACACAAAAGGAGAAAACAAATGTCCTTAAATGCTTATAAAATACAACATTAATAATAAAAAAAACTGTCTGAGTAGTAGGACAAGGCCATCTTATTTAGCATGGAAGTAATCACCTTCTGAGTGCTAGAAGAAGGGTTACACGTCTCAATCTTAAGCTTCGTGACATATCATAAAACCTTTCCATTGAAGATAGCTCACCACTAAATACTGGTCCCACAGAAAAGAAATAACCAGAAAACACACAAGGAGAAGGTAATCCATCATATTCAGATTATCAGGCAGAGAAAAAGTAGAACAAATACTGATTTTATGATACTTGCTAAAATTATAAATTTTGTTAGAGATTAAAAAAAATTATTATTTTTCCAACTTGTCAAAATAGACTACATTTTCCTTTATAAGCATGTAAGAATCAAGGTAGAGGGAGCCAGAAATCTGTTGACTGAAAATCTAGAGGGTATTACTAGTATCCAGCAGGCCGGGCTTCACAACGAGTTGACAAAGCCTTGACACTAAAAGTACTTATATCTGCTGTCAATCACTCACTCCTTGACATGTCAAGCGCACATCCTTTCAGGGACAACTTCAATCAACATGCACTCAGAATAGAGTACACAGTATCACCGCTTTAGAAATGAGAGGAAAAATAAAATGTGGTAGAGGAGGGGAAGACTGAAAGGCATTTCTGTTTATAGGAGAGCAGATTCAAATGGAAAGTGGATAAAAATCATGGAGCAAGCTGGAAGGCTGAATTCTGCCAGTTTATGTGGATTTCCTTTTCTGGGAAAAATATTCTCTTGCCATACATCCTCCAAGAGAAAATTTGAACAACGTATCATAAAGGCTGACAGGGGTCCATCCTGTAATGAACCTTGGCTCTCTGGAAAATACAGTTAATCTGTGGAGGGAGAGATGCCCAGATAAGGTTCTAAGACACGAGAAGAATCTGAAGTGATAGTATGTGTTATTCCATTATTCTCTCATTCATGCTTCTCTTTCTTTTTAACTTTGTTCTCCCTTTCACTCCTTCCTCTTCTTTTTTCTCACTTTCTTAGGAGAGCAGAGTGAAAGTGGAGTCAAACAGTCCTTGGTTCAAATGATTACTGACCAGTTACATGATCACGCTTGGCAAATTATTTAACTTTTCTAAACCTCATCTTATACATGCATAAAATATGTACAAAAACCTATATTTTACAGAGCTGCTGTAAAGACTAAATGACAAAATTTGTATGTAAAATGTTTATCAATGATTGGCACAAGGAAGTCTTCACTCTACACCTATCCCCCCTTCCTGAATCTGTTGCTTCTGCCTTGAAAACAGCGCCCAGGCGCTCCCGTGGCCTCACCGAGAGCACTCTGATGAACTGTGCTGAAGCTGTCTTCAGAACTCTAGAGGACAGATAATCGAGGGTACCAGGAACCCAGTCGGGCTGTGAGAACAATTACTTTACAAATCATGGCCTGCAGCCCATCAATTTGCTAGTCTTATTTTGACTGGTAGAATCCTTCCACTGGTGTTTGTCAGTTTGAAAGATTATCCAAATTTGTAGCCTACTCAAATTACATTAAAAAATACACTTTGGAGGCACTACACAAGCTTAGGCCCCAGCAGAGTTATTAAAAGTGGCAGATGAAGAGCAAGATTATCAAAAGCATTTTTTCTACTCTGGCCACAGATAGTTTTCATTATTATGACCTGATAAGCCATAAAAGTTGGAGAAATTGGACACATTCTAGAAAAAAACAACTCCTAATTTTTAAAAAAACAAGGCAAATGTAAACAATGCCTTGGGTTAGCCTTTATTTTAAATGTCTTTCACTACGATAATTTTTGTCATATTTCCATTACCCAATAGATAAGCCCTATATGGAAACTGGAATATTAGTATTATTTTTTCTGACTCCATTCACTTCACAAGCTTCCCACTCCAGCAGAACTGAAAAGACTGGCCTTGTTTGGGTACCCTACACAAGAGGGAGGTAAGATTTATGAAGTCCAGGAAGAACACGCTTCTCTACTGAAGGCGGATTCCTATTTTAGTTAAGTTTAATAGATAATTGAGGATACAGAATCCATATACTTTTCCTCATTTTCAATTGACATCCTTGCCCTTTTTTGCCCTTTAGTATACATGTTATTAAACTTTAGAGCCAAGAACTGCCAAAAGCCACAAAGAATTCATTCCCACCCCAGATTAAAAAAGGAAATGAAACATTTTTATTTTCATCTATAATAGTGATTTAAGTACTCAAATTTCATACTAAACTAATCTACCTAAACATGAAGACTAGAAGCTATTTAACAGCAATAGCATCAGAAAAGAAAGTTCTCATCACCCTGTGCAGTTCACACCAATAATTAGAAAGAAAAAAGAAAAGCTGTGAATTACAATGCACTAAAACTAAGTAAGTGTCCATGTTGGATTAAAGGACTTGAGTTGTCAGTCTGATGTATAATGAATATGAAAAGCAGCCATTTAATTAAATGGTACATGGTATAATCGCTTTGTTCTGCACTAAACTGCCTAAGTTATCAGAGTGCCTTTAGTTTAGCAATTGTTTACTATTATACCACCTCATGACTTCTCTTAGACACGGTTTAACCTACATTATTCCAAGGTTGAAATCTGGGGCTTATATAGTAACTTGCTTTAATTGATATATTTTATCAGTTTATTAGTGTATTTATTAATGTAGAAAATAGAAAAAATGTTTTTATTTATTTATTTTTATTTTCTGATGTTGTTAATCCTTACTTGAGGATATTTTCTCCACTGATTTTTATTTTTATTTTTTGAGACAGAATAAGGGAGGGAGGGAGGGGGAAAGGGAGAGAGAGAGAGAGAGAGAGAAACATCGATGTGAGTGGGTCACAATGATTGGACGGGCTGCACATGAACGGGCTGACGCTCTAACCACAGAGCAACACCAGCTAGGCTAAAGTAGTATTTTCTTATAGACTGTTTTATTATTTCAATAATTTAGACTTTAAAAGTATTTTCTAATATGCCCATACTTATAAAATGTCCAAAAACCAGCTTTCTTTTCGAAGAACATGGATATTTTACTGGTCCATAAGATCGCTAAGGTCTTTGTAAACACGTGAAACTAAAACAGGTCATAGTGCCTATAATCCTGAAATATGTCACGTGACTACTATGTAGTTACTGTGTGGGTTGGTCTATGAAAAGAACAAAACACATAAATGATAAGAAAAGTGGGTTAAGAAGGGTCTGGTTATCAACAGGGACTGAAGAAGAGAAAAAAACATCCTGCGGATATAAGAAGAGCAAGGCTTGACTAGAGATGGAATCACCCAGATTTCATAAGGCTGAAGCCATATACTCACTGCTACTGCAATCCTTCCAAGGACATGCTCTGGAATTTTTCTATAGACATCCAAAGATCCCCCTGTAGAGACAAACATGTTGTGTTACGACAAATAAAACTATTACAACAGTGCACTGGGCCTCTCCTCTGCATTCATTGAAAAATTTTTTTTTCTCATCTTATATCATGCATTAAATGTCTGGGGTAAAACTGGCTTTTGTCCAATTTCATTTATAACATAATCACACTTTCAGATGAAGCATAACTAGATATTCTATTTTATTCCCAAGTGTATAATCACATACACACAAATACTGAAGAAAATTAGTCGAGGGCAGGCTAAGAAGCTATATTTATTTATATTTTTTGTTAACCTCAGTTAAGGATATTTTTCCATCAATCTGTACATAGAGTGGAAGGAAGGGAGGGAGGGAGGGAGAGGGAGAGAGAGAGAGAGAGAGACATCGATGCGAGAGAGACATATCGATTGGTTGCCTCCTGTACAACCTTGACTGGGGCTGAGGAATCATATCTGCAAACCAGGTGTGTGCCCTCGACGAGAAATCAAAGCCATGAGCCTCAGTCTGCAGGTTGACTCTCTTACCGCTGAGCCAAAGCGGCCAGGGCACTTTATGTAAATTTAAATACATATACAAAATGGAAGATTCTGTGGTGATTGCTGGGGTTGGGGGAGTGGAGGTGGAAGAGAGGATAAATGGTGATGAAAAAAAAACCCACTGAAGATCAATAGTACAATTACATTTGGGTATCTGCCTTGTGTAAGTTTTCTCAAATGTAAACCAGGACCCTATCTTAAAATTTTCACATTTACCAAACAAAAGTTGGTGAATATAAGGTTCAAAATACACACAAAAATGAATAAAGTACTAATGTCAACATCTACCTAAATAAATGTTACCCTTCAAATTATGTAACGCTTTGAAAACCACTTTGTGGGATAAAAAAAGAAAAACTAATCTCCTATGTCATAACATTTTTCACTAAAATGGTATTTACTAATACCCTTAACCTTTATCAGTTCAGCTTTTAGCAGTTTCTAAAAATCAAAACCACTAGATTGTGAACATAATAAAGGCAAGGGCCATGCTATTTGCTTGTTTGTTTTTAATTTTCATCAACTTAGAAGTTAGCAAACTAGCAAAGAGTAAATATTTATATCACCATAAATTTCACTAGATAGGCATAGTTATTTTTAAAGCAGTTTAAAAATAAACAGACTGCAAACCATTTGCAGTACCAATAATATCACTGAAAAAACTGCATAACTTTCCTAGGTAAGTATTTTAAAGAAACCAACATTCACTTGAAAGTATAAATTTAAATATGCTTGTTAATTTTAGAAAGAAGGACAAAGAACCATTACTTTACTCATATTAATGACATGATTATATGAGAACTATTTTAACAATAAGTAATAGTTTTCCTTTGAGTCAAGGTGAGTTGTACAGCTTTTCAGTTCTACAACAGAATTAGCCAGAATATTTAAGAAATAATTTGTTGCCCTGGCCGGTTTGGCTCAGCGGTTAGAGTGTCAGCCTGGACCAAAGATTCCAGGGTTCAATTCCAGTCGAGGGCATGTACCTTGGTTGCAGTTCAGTCCCCGGCCCTGGTCAGGGTTGTGCAGGAGGCAACCAGTTGATGTGTCCCTCTCACATCAATGTTTCTCTCTCTCTCTCTCTCTCTCTCTCTCTCTCTCTCTCTCTCTCTCTCTCTCCCCCCCCTCCCTCCCTCCCTCCCTTCTTTCCTCCCTCCCTCCCTCCCTTCCTCCCTGTCTGAAAATGGATGGAAAAATGGAAAAATATCCTTGGGTGAGGATTAAAAAAAAAAAAGAAATAATTTGTCTAATAGAATCTAAAAATGCATATATAACCACTTTACTACCAGATGATTAAAAAATATACTTCCCAAGAGATTAGCATGGAACATGTATTTCTTTTGAAATGTAGTCGTCTATTTTTCAAAAAGAAAATTTTTATATGTCAAGGTTTTCTAAAGCTGAACATCAGAGGGAAAAAAAGATAAAGCAGGAAAATGATCACTTGTTTAGGGAACATTGCCTTGTAGTTTCCAGAGTCGGACAAGAAGCTGGAAAACCACGGTGTGACTGCTTTGGCTCTGGTTACTACTGGGGAGATAATGAAAAAACACACTTCTGCAATGAGCTGAACCATCCTTATTTACTAAAATAGCATTTTTATTATAGATGCAATAAAGTGAAAGTATGGTAGAAAAATATTTTATGTTCTCATTGATCTTTCAGATGGATTGGCAGTTGTAAGGATGAACTGTGTCAAGAAGATCAAGCTTCCTGTGCCAGTGTTTGGAATACTGATAAATGCAGTTTACCGCGCCAATCCCTTATGAAGTGAACAGCTGGAGTGGCTCAAAACTAGGAGGTGTAAATCACTCACATATACTAGTAAGAAGTCCTAAGAGGAGATTTTAAAAAAAAATTCTCAACTGAGGATTTATCTTCAGACAGAGTGGGAGAGAGAGAGGGAAAAACATCGATGTGAGAGACACACTGATTAGTTGCCACTGCACCACTGCACAACCCCAACTGGGGCTGGGGACGAACTGCAACCAACGTACGTGCCCTTGGCCGGAATCAAACCTGGGACTCTTTGGTCCACAGGCCGATGCGCTAACCACTGAGAAAAACTGGCCAGGGCCCTAAGAGGAGATTTATTTTTACATAGGATATAAATCAGGGCTTAATTAGCTAAATGGACAATATTCAACAAGATATACCAAAAAGCCAAAGACTATGTTACTATCATTATCAGCAGAGCAAGCCAAAGGAGAACACTATTTTGATGTAGTTCACTGGGTTTTGGAAATATCCATTTAATCTTGATTATATCCCACTCTCCTTAGCCACCCATATAGGTAAATATTTACATAGCTGGCTCTGTGTCATCACAGAGTCATCCTGTCCTTAACATACTCATTAGAGATAACTGTCAGAGATGTGGCAGATCCACTCAGAATCGAGTTCTTATTAAGCCTGATGAGTTCTCTTTGTGCAGTTAAATAATTCTTATTAGGCTAAAAATGGCAGATGGTTTCAGTTTAATTTTTACTCAGTTTTACTGTAATTTCTATCCTATTCCCAAAAGGCAATTTTTAGACTCATCAAATTAGCAGACATTAGTGCTGGAGGGACATTAAAGATCAGTGCAATGACTTTATTTGACAGGTGGGAGAGGGAAACTGAGTCCCAGAGAAGTGAGTCTTCTATTCATGACCATGAGTCAGTTGAAGGCAGAGCTCATGAACGATCTGAGCCTCTGAACTCCCAGACCTGCAAAGGTCTAAAATGTTTCCTATAACATCCCATAGCTTAAGAAACACATATAAACTTTTTACAGTTTAAAAAGTCTCACTACAATGTGATATTATTACAACATATACTCAGAGAAATAGTTTCATCTTAGCTGAGATGTTGGTATTCTAGGCATTTAGAAACTCACTTATCTGTGGCACAGTTGGTCTGAACTGTTTGCTCATGGTTCCAAGGTCACTGATTTGCTACCTGTGACCTGTCATTTCCCAGTGTTCCCTGGCCTCAGGTCATTCTACCCATCATTTCATTGAATGCCACTACCACTGAAATGAGGAGGAAGAGTGCTAACGGATTAGCAAAAACCCAGTCTTAGCTGCCGAACAGCTACATGTTTCTGTTGATGAATTAGGGCTATCATCTTCATGTAACTAGGCCAAAAAGACTCAGGGGCAAGGTCTGTGCTGATCCTCATACAGGGACTAAAATAGAAAGTAGTGTCTCACATGTAGGATAAACACAAATGTAGCAAATGAACAAGAAGCAACATTACTATCATACCCATTGCAACATTTTCCCTAAAATGATCATAATCATTATTAATTCTAATAAAACTGAAATCTGGACCCATTCGCAAAAATTTCAGAAGTTCTCTTAGTGTCGGCTCTTTCTTTCTCGGCAACATGGGTTTTTCAGAAAACAATGTATTCCCATGATAGTAATCCAATTACAAGTGCATATATTCTGAGATGCATCTGGGTGTTTCTTAGAGAATTTAGTTTTGACTTAATGAGAAGGCATGTCACATCACTCCCCTGGAAGACACCACTTGCAATTGTCTTTATTCCACCTGACTTGGAGCTTGCCTAGTACAAAAAACCTTTTCCTTGGGGGCATTTGTTGAAAACAATGAGAAGCAATTGATTAATTTTGTAACTGACTGAGGTGGTGGATAACAGCTGAGGTAAACAACAAGCTAACCAAAAACATTAAAGGGAAAAGCTGGGGAACAAGATGTCCATAGAGGCTTTGAAAACCCCTATCATATTCTTGGACATGCGCATGCATTAAGACTGTTCAAAGATGGGGAAGAAATGGAGTTATACAAAAGCAACATTTTTGTACAATATTGAAAGGAAGTTGGTATTAATCTGCAATATATTGTTACAAATTAAGTTGTTAATTACAATCTCTAGAGAAACCAAAAGTATAACTCAAAAACTATGGTCTAAGAAAACACAAGAGAATGTAAATGATACATTAGAAAACATCTATTAAATGTAAAAGGAGGTAGTATGGAGGAGTAGAGGACCATAAAAGAAGAAGGCTTATAAAAAAAGCTTCTAATTTTAAATTAAACACTAATTAAATGAGAGGTTAACACAATAAATAAAAAAATTATCCAAATATTTGCTGTCTAGCCCTGGCTGGATTGGCTCAGCGGTTGGAGCGTTGGCCTGCAGACCAGAGAGTACCGGGTTCGGTTCCCACTAGGGCCCGTACCAAAAACAAAACAAACAAAAAAACCAAATATTTGCTGTCTATAAAAGATGCACTTCAAAAACCCAAATAGGTTGAAGGTAAACAATGAAAACAGATTTAATAAGCAAACAGTAATTATCAGGGAGCTGGAATGAATATACTAGTATGAAACAAAATAAACTCTTAGATAAATATTTTGACCAGAGGGGGAAAAAACACATTTTATAATAATAAAAGAGTCAATTCTTTAAAAGAATAAATATTATAAGCAACAGAAGGCAAAAATATATGAAGC